CGCCCGCGCCTTCCCGCTCTGCGCCCAGCGGCCCTGCGGCCTCCCCGTCCGCGCTGCTGCTGCGCCGGCCTCACGGCTGCAGCTCCTGCGACGAAGGCAACGCGGCCTCGTCCCGCTGCCTCGACTGCCAGGAGCACCTGTGCGACAACTGCGTCCGCGCGCACCAACGCGTGCGCCTGACCAAGGACCACTACATCGAGCGCGGCCCGCCGGCTCCCGCGGCCGCCGCCGCCGCCGCGCAGCAGCTTGGGCTCGGGTCCCCATTCTCCGGCGCGCCCTTCTCCATCCTCTCCGTGTTCCCCGAGCGCCTCGGCTTCTGCCAGCACCACGACGACGAGGTGAGTGCCCGCTCGGCTTCCGAGGCGGTCGCGCCTGGCGGGGTGGGCGGGAGCGAGTACCCGCGAGCCGCGCGTGCTCGCCCGGAGTCTCCCACGCCACGAAGCGAGCGGGGGGCGCCCTCTCCCCGGATTTATTTTTCTCCCCTCTTGGCGCCGTGAGTGGGTAAAGGTAGCCCAGGTAAATCATCACCTGAGGGGGGTGTGTGTGGAGGGCCTAGTTTCAATGTGTTACGAGGGTCCCCCTTTTTTTCGTTTGAAATTGATTGGGTGGTAAAAATGTGGCAACCGTGGTCTCCGATTAGAGATTGGGAAGAGCTGGTGTGTCTGGAGACCTGGCGGCGGCTTGGGAGACCTCCGTCATGACTGTTGCCACCCCCCGCCGACGGTGCCCCAGGTTTGGGAACACTCCCCCCCCCCATTTCTAAACGGAGTTTTTCGTGTCTTTGACAAAGGTTGTGTTCTATTGTATTTAAGACCCGCGAGAGGACAGTGTCAGTGGACGTTGTCTTGGGCGGACACGCGCTCCTGTACCTTATCTTTTATATCTTTTAATTTTCGGTAAAATTTGCAGATTGTTGCATTTAGGTAGAGCGTGATCTGGACGGGATGGCTGTGTGGAGCGGTGCCCACGTGCACGCTTGTGAAGGACAACTGTCGTTTGTCTGGGGACACTGGCTGTCCTTGGCTCCTTGTGTGGTTCTTTGAGGGCTGGGAGACCCTCATTCAGTCCTTTTCTGTTACGTGGTTCTGTTACGTGCCCGCACTATGTAAAAAAAAAAAAAAAAAGCGTGTTTGGCCCCCGAGACTCACCGAGGTGAAATTGTGCAACTTCGGTTTCGGGGACCCACTGCTGCACCCTGAGAAGCGGACTCGGGGACCTTGTCCATCGCCTCACAAGCCCGCCCCGGCCTGCCACAGCCTCGATTCCCTCAGGGAACCGGTTTCCCTGGTTGGGAGGTCCCCACCGGGTTAAGCCGGGGCTCGGCTTGGAAAAATCCCAGCCCAGCTGCACGGAGCTCCAACTCGGGAGTGCGCTTGGCCCGAGGACTCACTGCAGCTCAGGGCTTGGTCTCGCTCTTCTGCTGTAAACTTTTACTCCCCCCCACCCCCCACCCCAACGTTAGACACCCTCCAGTCACTGGCACCCTGTAGAGGAAGCGGTCAGAAAAATCGGGCAGGTTCTGCTGGGAGGTGGGTGGGCGTCTCACACACTCGCACTAGATGTGTGTAGTGCTGTGGTCATGCCCTGGAGGAGGAGAGGGCAGGGCTTTAAAAATCCTAGCGGGAGTTGCTGCCTGCGCCTGGAGTGGGCCTGCAGGTACCCCGTGCGGCGGAGGCTCGCGCCTTGCACAGCCACCTTTCCCCCACTCCTCACTGTTACTGGGGGGAAGAGGGCGGAGCTATAATCTGACGGCCATAATCCGGCCCTCCCATTGGGAAAAATTGAAATTCTAATCTTGTTGTGGGCGCCTCACTTTTATTTCTAGGTAGGAAGCGACACTTTTCCTGTGTTTTGAAACTATAGATAGGTTGAATGGTCCTGTCATGTTCTCTCCTCACCTTTAGAAAAAAGAATGAATTAAAGTAGCGGCCCGAATCCCAGGAATGGAAAGATGGAGTCAATTCACTTAAATTAGGGTCAGCTAGGGGTGGGGGAGGCTCGAGAGGGAGAGGGTTCCTGAATTCTCTGACAATTTACGTCCTGGGAGGAGCTAGATTGAGCCCTCCCTCCCCACAGTTGAGCTTAAGTCAGGTTTTATTTATATTCCTAGTTAAAGATCCACATACATTTTATTTGGGCTAAAACAGTAGAAGCTCAGTGTTGCTAGACTTGTAAAAGGTTTATGCACTTTTTAAATTATAAAACCATTCAAACGGTGTGGGAGAATGTAACATGAGAAGTGAAGCCCCCCTCACACTGGGAGGTACCTGGATGGGCTGAAATTTTTTTGACTTTTCAGCATGGGCTGTTTAACATGGGTTGAAAGTTGATTGGGAAGAGATACCGTTGTTAATTGAACTTTGAAACAGGAAATTTGCTCAGTTTGAGCAAGATTCGATTTGCCCTTCTTAGTTTTTAATTTCAAGAAAGCAAACCTGAAAATTGATTTCAGATCTTCCTGAATGTAGAGGGCCAAAATAGTTGCATTTTAGGGTGACAGACCAATACTTGGAGTAGAGATCTAAAATGTCAGGGGAAGCACAGGGTTGGCCTGGGATGGCCATCCATGGTCTAAATTCACCCTTTCTTTGGAAGGAAGTGATCTTTCAGTGTTTTGGAATATTCCTTTGAAAGCCACGACTCCAGCTGGGAAAGGAGCAGGGGGCACTCCAGAGTCTGACCGAATGCCTAAAACCTTGTGCTTCGTGGTGCACAGTCTACCTCAGTTTTTAAGAAGTGCTACTTCACTGAGTTGTCTCCCTGTCAACAGACTCCATTAAATAATTCAGGCACCCTTGCCTGACCTCTAGAAGGCGGGCTGGGAGGCTTTTAAGGGAGGGTGCCTGCAACTGCTGGCCACCCAGGTAAGGCCGATTCCCCTGAAGAATGTTTTTTCTTAAGCACCCTGATCTTCCCCCTAAATAGCACCTTGGTAAATAAAGATGGTTAACTTAGCGTCGGGTTTAACACTTGATTTAAAAACTTTACCAGGAAGGAGTTGTGTTTTCCAATGCAGTACTGAGAATCAATTGCCCTCCAGTCTCTTCCTGGCTCATGTACGAAAGTTTGTGTCCCCCGCCCCCTGCCTAGGTTCTTAATGGACAGTTTGAAAAGCCGGTAGGCACCGAGAGGAGGCCGGGAGTCGGGGACCCTTATCCGGAGAATTGCTGACCGCTGGCCTGGTCAGTGCCGCGTTCCTGGGAGTAGCAAGCAAGAGCCCCTGGGGGTCTTGCCGGCTTAGCCCGACCCCGCTTGTTCTGGGAACCCGCGGGACCCGATCCCATCATTATCTGCGGGTGAGCGCTTACAGCCTCTCGGCCCCGGCGAACCAGCTCGGCGAACCAGCTTGGCGAACCAGCTTGCTCGCGTTTTGGGGGTAGCATTGAAAGGAGTTTGAGCCTTTCCTACTGCTTTGCTGCCTTGGTGGTGACACTGGGAGCAGAAATTTCAGTCGTCCA